TTTTCATGACCTGTGGATAAATAACATCAGAAGACGTGCAAAACCTATTAGGACCACTATGGCAGGGATTAAATATGCACAGCAATAACTTCTGGTACAACACTCTTGCAGCAGAGAGTGGGGTCTCCCCGTAGCCTTCTCAGGGAGTGCAGGTTGTATGTGACTTCCCCAGCCTGTGCTGGGCCAGCCACAGGGCTTTGACGGAACACAACACACTGCACCCACTTCACAGCACCTGCCACGACTACAAGAAAGCTGGGGAGGGACCTTTTTCAAGGACATGGAGTGACAGGACAAGGAAACTGAGATTAGATATGAGGAAGAAACTCTTCACTAGGAGGGTGGTGAGACATTGGCACAGGTTACCCAGGGAAGCTGTGGATGCCCCATCCCTGGAAGTGTTCAAGGCCAGGTGGGATGGGGCTTGGAGCAGCCTGGTCCAATGGAAGGTGTCTGTGGCCATCCAAGTGGCCTTTCAGCTCTCACCCCACCCTCCATAGCAGCCACTGCCCCTCACCCGGGCAGCCAAGAGCTTGGAAATCCTGGCTCCTTGTCTCAATGACCTCCCACGGCTCTGCACTAACATCTCTTAAACCTGAGGCCTCTCCAAACCAGCAAAGCCCACCTGCAGATAGCAGTAGAAGCCCAAGCCAGGAATTTAGCACATTTTGGTGGCCAAAACCTCCTGTGGCATTTACCTGATGCGAGTTCTGTGTCAGAAAAGCAGGATGGTCTGGGCAGGGATGGGATGCCACGTGAACTAAAATCTATCGCAGGAAACACATGAGGACAAAACAGAGATCTCATATGCAGTGACACAAATACACGTGATGTGAAGTGATACTTCAACACTCTCTTTCAAGAGCAGGCAAGACTGCAATAATGAAGCCATAAACAGAGCATTTGCATTCTGCTGTCTCATCGTGTCAAGCTGGTATGATGCCATGTGAAGCCCCACCAGCTCTCCTCCTCTGACAGACAGACATCCCACTCTGCACCAGAGGAGGGAGGGCACACAGCTGCACCATCCATGCAGCACCTCAACACCCATCAGAACTTCCCGATTGTTCAGGATTCCCAGGTTACACTTGCCACCAAAAACCCGAAATACAATTGTTACGAACAACCTTGCTTTCCTAAGTTATTGTGCTGATACCACTGCAAGTCCTCTCTGTAAACAACTCCTCTCCTCTGTCTCATGTCAGCACCGAGCAATGTTGTCTCCAGTAGCACCTGTGAATATAGTTTGTGACTCTATCTTTGCATTTAAAAAACAGTGATGTGGCATGTGTTCCTTTCTTCCACAGGACGATGTTTTCTTCCCATTTCTCTCCCATAGCTTGCCATAATTTCTTTTCAATCACTTCCAATCCTTGTTTTTGTATTTGAAAAACAAAAGTATCAAACTTAAAGCCTTTCATTTCTATCTTTTGCTAACCGCTGTGGTACTTAAGAAGGTCAAACAGATGATGCTCCTGATTTTGAATTTTCAAAGACTTTTGGCTAAGCCTTGTTCTTTGGATCCCACCAACCACGGAAACCTGGGACCACATCTCACCTCCTTGGTCCATGGGAGCACCCTGTCCCAACCCTGAAGAGAGATTGGGATGGGCTGTGGTGTCCTCACTCCTCACCCGACCCAGGGAGTCAAAATGCCTGAGTTGGAGAAGGTTGGGGTGTGTTCCCATGTATAGCAGGCTGCAACACAGAGCTTGTTCAAATGTCAAATTAGACACAGTCTCAGTATCCTGGCCCACATCACATTTGTCATCTGTTCCCTCTTCTGCAGATACAGAAGTCTCTTGTCCAGCTACACCACTTCTCCCAAGCACAAAGACAACAGTTCATTTGAAAACCATCTGCTTAATCCTCACCCTTCCCGAAACTTATGCAAACCCACTAAGACAGTGCACTTACAGAAACCTTCAGACTGGTCTACCCAACACAGGTAGCTGTCCTACCACAGTCCCAACTCCTGAAAGACAGAAACTAAGTGAGTCTGTGTGATAGGTGCAGAGGCCATGGTTCTGTACTGCTTGGGTCGGGGAGAAAGATGCTGCAAGCTGCAGCCTGTTTTGGGCTGGGTGAACCACAGGCTGAAGAGATGCCTGGCTGAAGCTGGTGGGAGTTTCGCTGCTGACTTTCACAGGACCAGTGTGTCACTCTTTGCAGCCACTATTCATCTGGGGTACATTAACATCTGAATCCTAAAATCAAGCTGATGGGCACAGTTCTAAATAAGCTAAAGGGAAGAAGGAGAAAAGCTACTTTTTAAGAGACACACTGCCATCATTTTGCCCTACTAAGCCAGCTCCCATTCACTCCAATGCAAAATCTGAGTCCTTGATAAAGTGTCTTGAAGGTGACAAACACTTGAACAAAATATACAAATGTTAATCTATTTATTTAGTCTTTTAAAAGCTGATACTTGCATTTTAATGATAACTTGCTCAGCTGATGTGATTCATTAAAAGAAATGCATACCTGTACTTCAGGTAGCTGTTCTGATGAGCACCTGCAGAGTAAGCTAGAACAAGGTTTGACACTTCTGAAAATCACAGTGACTTCATATTTCAGTGAACATCAGGATTTATTGTGCCTTAAGGTAAGTATTGACTCTGGTTTTCCCTCAGTCGATACTTTAGCTTTCAAGACAGTAAATCTTGGTGTTCACCTCAACTAAAGTCAATATCTGTTTATTATATTAGAACAATCAAACTGATCACTGTAGCAGTTGCCTGAGACCTTGAGGACAACCTTTGTGCTATTAGTTTCTAATAAAAATGGCCTAAATTAATTGTGAACATAAGTTCATTTCATATTGCTGCCCTTATACAGAGGTTTCCTTAGACATAATACCTTGAAACATCCAGAACCAAAGAAGTAACCTACTTTTAAATTATGGAGACCACCATAATGACACTAGAGCTAGAAAAGATCTCACACAGGTAAGAGAGCTGATTTGCTCTGGTTTGCAAAGAGATTCACTAGTAAGGAAATTCAAGTGCAGATGTTAAAAGCACTGCTGCTGTGACTGACCTGCAATTTGCTTACTTTTAATTATTTTTGCATACCCACTTTTGTGTTTGCTGCATATCCAGGCTGCAAGAAGAGGCA